TTCTTTTTTTTTTTCTCTCAGGAAACTGATAGTTATGCCCAAAGAAGAACCTATACCCCAAAAGTAAAAAGTAGGCACTATGATGGCTACTTTCACATACACAACTCAAATTAATCTTATAACTTAATGAGGTAAGTATTATTATATATATTTTAAAAGATGTGGAAATTGTGGCTCAGAGAGGCTAAGTAACGTGTCCAAGGTCACATAATTAGTAGGGCAAACCCAGGGCTCTCTGCCCCTGAAGTCTCTTCTCTTTCCACTACACCATGCCATCTTCTTAACAAGGGGTTCTGGCCCCATTTCTGGTAAAGTTAGTATGCTTTTAAAGAAAGAGAAGCATTTAAAGGACTAGGTTCAGAATAATTCCTTTACACAGAGGCAGAGGATAGAAGTAAAAGCTTGCCATTTTGGCTACTGAACTATTTTTGTGGAACTACAGAGCTTTCTTTTAAATCCTTTAATATTCTTCTATTTTTTTATGGTAGTAAAAAAACACATAATTTTAAATTTACCATTTTACCATTTTTTATGTGTAACAGTCCAGGAGTGTTAAATGCATTTGCATTGTTCTGCAACAGATCTCTTTAGAACATTTTCATCTAGCAAAACTGAAACTCTACACCTATTAAAAACTAACTGCCCCTCCCCTGTTCTCCCAGCCCTTGGCAACCACCTTTCTACTTTTTGTTTCTATGATTTTGACTACTTTAGATATTTCATGAGTAGACTCATATAGTATTTGTCCTTTTGTGACTGGCTCATTTCACTTAGCACACTATTCTCAAGGTTCATCTGTGTTGTAGCACAGCATGTGACAGGACTGAATCCTACATGCTCTTCTTGATACTCTTTCTTCCAATTGCCTATGTCATAAAATTCAGATCTTTGTTATATTCCATCCGACACTGCTCTACAGTTGTTTCATGCGTATATGGCTCTTTCTCCCTGCTAGATAGTAACATCCTAGTGACCAAACACATGGTCACTTTTGAAATACATGTTTAAAAAGTCTTTTAGATACTACCCAGCACCCAACACTATGCTAAGAACACAGAAAATATACCCTAGAGGGCGTAAACTCTGTGATATCAGGGACTATTCTGTTTTATTTTGTGCTGGTCCCTACCAGATAACATAATGCTAACATCAATAAAATGCATAGGATATATTTTTAGGACCAAGTAACAAACTATTTCTGAGGACTGATTGTGATTGAAATGATGAGAAGTGAGAAACTTGACTCTCCAGAAACTTTTGTAAGAAATAATCCAAAGGAAAAGAGGAAAGTATTAGCTAAACTACAATCAGAATCTCTGAAAAATGTGTTCCTAAAAATTATGTAAAGCAGAATACCAGACTCTTCATACTACTGAAAAGTAAGAGGACAGAGGGACAGAGTAACATCAAAAATGGCCCAAATTTCCAAGTTTCTCCATTCCTTGGTAGAATGTTCTCTAGAGAGAACAGGTCAAGCAGCCCATACCCACGATGTCTCGTCCTATGACAAAAAGTAGGAACGAACTCAGAGCTGTGCTCTTTTTTCAACTTCCCCCACCTTTAATATCGAGGAACAGACAAATCCCCAGGATGCGTGTGTAAAAAAGCCAGAGATGGATAAAAATAATTCAATGACAAATGCTGGAAAAACATACAAAGGGGCAGAAGCCAGACATTCGTGGGATTCCCTGACAGCCTGATCTGCAAGGAAGGGCTGGACTGGAAAAAAACAGGGCCTCAGGTTCCTGCCAAGCTGTCTGAGGCCCTGTCCTTCCCAAATCATTCCAAGTAGCAGCCAAGACTTTATAGTAACCCTTCCAGGTCTCACAGAGAAAAATGCACTATGAATTCACTGAGTGCTCCTCACCTAGAAAATTCTCCCTGACGTGGTCCAATTCCACAGAAAGCTGGCAGTAATGAGGAGATGCCTCTGTACATCAACTGTCAGCTCCGAATGACTCTCTATGTGCCCAGAAAACAGATAATTAAAAGACAGCTTTAAAAAATCTCATCTTTCTCAATGGCTAAAGAAAGCTGAAATACCCAGGTATCAGCATCTAGAAACTGAAAATATCACTTTATGAAAAAAGAGGCCATGACCACTTTGTACCTGCATCCTGGAGTCCCTATTGTATAATTTAAAGTCGGCCTTGCCTGGAGGCACACCTCAGGCTTCTAAACATGTGACTGCATTTGGCTCTAACTACTTTCTCTTCTGGAGAATGGCCTGTAATTAATCTCACTTATTACCTCTGCAAAGTAACAACAGAGGAATGGCTGGCCAAGTCTAACTCTAGAGTGTCTAGGGAACTGCAAGCTACACAGCCAGGCCTCAGACTGTCTGGGTAAGTCATGGGCTCTTTGCCTTCCTCTCCCACAACAAAGCCTGAACAGGGACGCCAGACAGACCAAAGGAACCAGGGGATTTGAGGAGCTGGGTTGAGCTTACACTGACCCAATGGGAGATGACAATCCTGAGGCTACATTTGGGGTGGTTTCAAAACGGGGGGGAGGGGAAAGAACAAGGTTGTTTGGTGAAAATTTGTGTGATCCATAAAATTGAGAACAATAGCAACACCACAGGGACATTCCTGTGGCTACCAAGTCATTGAATTCTCCGACATGCAGAGATGAAAAGTACAGCTAGCAATGGGATTCTCTTTACATCTTAGTACAGTTTACAGGGCAGTCCCTAGTTTAGTGAATTCTCAGAGTTTAGAGTTTATCGGCACTGGAATCCACTGTTGCTATTGTAGAAAAACTATTAAGAGTGCCTTTTATTTATTTAGCACCCACTTCCAGGGAGATCAAAGTACTTTAAAGGCAATCTAAAAGCTCTCAAAACAGGCCAGTTTATATGTAAGTATTCTTACCCAATAAAAAGATTAAATGAATAGCTTAGGGTCACTTAGTGTCAAAACCAGTAATAAAACTCACATCTCTTAGCTACAAATCTCACATTCATTAAACTTAGTCACCCTTACTACTAAAGGGGGAACAACAAGAGACTAAATAAATATCCACAAAGCAGTGACTTACCAGGTAAAAATGGAAATCACGATGTCATGCTGGGCAGAATGTGTGCTGCGGGTGTGGCTGGGGCCCACATCATAGCCAGGTCTGGAAGAACCTGTGAGAATTCACTTACGGCTGCTTTGGGGTGGGTACCTCTGGGAATTCCATGTAGGAATGTGACTCCCAAGCTGGACCTCCAGGCTGTGCTGGCAACCAGAGGTTACCTGGGGGCAGAGATTTCCCAGGGCTACCCTGGACTGGAATGGGACCTGAAAACGGGCCCTTGTGCTTCAAGAGAGGTAAAGAGAGGGCTGTTGTGGATACAATGAACTCAAAGAGGAAAAGACCAGGGGACTTCATGGGAGTTGCTTTTTAGCTGCAAGGGCTCTGAAGTAAATCGTGTAATGTGCCATTTTACTGCAGCCTCATAAACATGGTCTGGCTAGGAAAAGGCCACTCACAGTGCTTGACTGTAGGCTCTGGCTCAACCTTGACCAATCCCATCACCTTTTATCTCAGTACTAACAGGTACTACCAAAAGAAAGCCCTAAACCATAATTTTTATTAAATTTTTTCCCCTCATTCCATCTACAAGTATAACAAGTGCTAAAACTCTACTTCTCCAAAATCTGTAGTTTTGACACTTTGTTTACAGTATGGAAAATGCCTGTAGCCTGGTTGTACAGACAGTATATCCAAAATTGCAGCGAAAATGTTTTCCATAAAAACAAGGCTCAGATTTTAAAATGAAAATGGAATATTTGGAAATATTTTATATGGAAAATAAAGCTCTATGGTATAAACAGAATTTCTTTTTTACGACTTATGTTTTAGGAATGCGGTTACTCTGTAGATTGTAAATCACCAAACTGCAGACGTCTCCTATGAAGAGAGCTGTGTGGATACCCTGCCTTAAAAAGTTCAGCCTCTTAGTCTTCAATTCTTTATAATTCTCAGTTGAGATGATTCTTTTCACCATGACCACAGTGATCATGGGTATGAAAGACATTGTACCATAGCATGATGTAATGTGCTTGTTTATGTTGCTTCCTGGGCAGAGTTTCTGCTTCCCAAATTAGTTCCTTAAGTAATAATTCAAACAGCAACAGATAATTTACCAACTATTAGGTATTTTCTCCCTGCCCAAGTCTTTGGTTCCCTCTCCTAACCTCAGGGCAAAGCAGCATACTAACAGGCAGAGGCTCGAAGTACTGGCACGTATGGGAGAGCTTCTTTATTTGGAGGGAACAATATCTCAGCTGGTCAGAATACTTCATTGTAATAGTCATATTTCTCTCTAGCTCATATGACTCAGGTACTGATGTAATTTAATCCATATTGAATAGCCACTAAAGCAAGATGTACTGGGAATCTATTTCTTACACTTTTTATATAGGGGTAATTCAAATAGGGAGTCAGACCAGAATTCAATACAGTGGTTTGTTTTTTAATTCACAAGTTGCTCACTTTATGGCCAGAATCTATATGGATTATTCACTCAGTCATTTCTTTAAACTACATAAAGGAAATTTCATTCCTACTTCCCAAATGAACATTAAGCAGAGAGGCTATTTAATTACATGAAACTTGATGAAAACAAAAAACAAATATGTCCTTCAAAAGAAAAGAGTCTAAAAGTTACCGAAACACAATGTAGCACAAGGTATAAAAAAAGAACTAAGAGGATAAAATGTCAAACCTTAGTAAATAAAAATGTTGACTATAAGCAAGGATTAAACACAGTATAAATTCTTGCTGTCACCCAAACGTAGTTTTCTTAACTGTCTCCGAAATTTCCATTTCATTTGATTTTCCTGAAAACTGTCTTACAAATAAAATGAGGCTCTCTTTTCAAGCATCAGAGGATCTGGACAGGTGAAGAACGGGCATCTGCCTTCCTGTATAGAACTCAAGGTGGGAATGGCTTCCCTGGGATGCGGGCCATCCTTGTGCAACTCAAATGCCCTCCAGGGCCCTTCACATACCTGCTTCCAGGAGGGCTGGAGTGGTTCTCGAGAGGTTGGGGGTCTGATTGTATTGACCATGTCGGGCCACTGGGAATGATGACCGGGCGAAGAGTGGGAGGAGTTGAAGCACTGCTTCTGTTTATGATGCCAGTTGCCAAATTCAGGTTTGTTACCTAGAAATGAAGTGACGGAAATAACCTGAATTTAGAGAGTTTTAGGAAAGTATCATTAAAAACATATGGAAAAAATCAAGTCAAGTCCAACAGATGGTAACCCTTCCAAGCTAAAGCCATGGCTGTGAAAAAGGCACCCAGGAAGGATTGGCTTTGTGTGCAAGGAGCAGAAGTGAGGGGGGTTAGTGTCAACATAAGCTAACAAGCATTTATGCTGCCTCTATTATGTACATGGCACTGGATTATGCCACATGCTGTGAAAAACAAAGATGGTTAACAAAAACAAAAATTTACTATTTACTCTGTGCCAGGAAATGTTTAAAGAAACTAGGCAGCTATTTAGCCTTTCTGGTTCTTGTTTCTTCATCTAAAAGTTCTACATGCTCAATAAATTTTAGTTATAAATAATAATTATTATAATATACAAAAACTCATTGATTTAGAAAGAAAAAAGATGGCCATTAATAGAAGAATGGGCATTGGCTTCAATAAATAATTTATAAAGAAGGAATACAATCAGTCAATTAAACATTTAAAACTAGTCATCATTTCCACTGGTAAATGTACATAACAAGAAAAATGCAAATTACAGAGAAATGCTAAGTTACAAGATACCACTTTTGTGTGTCACATTGGTATACAACAATATAAAAGTATCTAATAATGGCAAGGGGTGATATTAGATAAGTACTTAAATTATTTGTGTACCTATAAATTGGTAGAATCTTTCTGGAAATCAACTTGGCAATATATTATTAAAGTATATTACGACATTCATACACTTTGATGCTACAAACCAGCTTCTCAGAATTATGTGAAAAAACAGTTGCAGATGATTAATGATGATGATATCATAACAACAGTTAATATTTGTTAGAATTTACTATGTGCCATGCTCTGTATAAATGAGTACTTACATATATCTCATTTAAACTGTCACAAATCTGTTGGTAAGTATTACTAATTATAATCCTCATTTTATAAGGAAGGAAACTGAGGCCTAGGATTGCACTGAGACTTAGCAATAAATGGCAGAACTAGGATTTGAACCATAGTCATTTAAGCATTAAAGCCCACATTCTTACTCACCACATTATACTGTGGTGAGTAAGAAAACAAGCATGAAAAACAAGCATTATTTTTAATATTGAAAAAGAAGAGGATATAAATGCCTAACAATATTATTAAATAGATTTTGCTCTATCCATGTAAGGGAATATTATGTATTCATTAACATTTTTTGAAAAATAATGATATAGGAACATGCTGATATTCAAGTAAACAAAATAAAAATCACAGTAGTAAAAGTCATAATAAGATACTATATGAAGAGTAGATCCACATTTCCTTAAACACACAAACACGCACACAGGTCATTCCTTAAAGATTGGAAATAAAAATCCAAACTATAAGTAGCATCTATTTCTAAATGACAACTCGTTTTCTTCCTTATATTTATCCATATTCTCTGAATTTTCTATACTGGGGTATACATTACCTTTCATAATCCAAAAAAACTTTTTTCATTGTTATGACAAATACAGATATGAAATGATAAACTTAAAACCGGGGTGGAAGCCTTGGAATCAGAAAAGAAAATATAGTTCTTAGAAGCATTTCACAGTAAGAGGCACAAGGGCTGCAAAAGAGAGAGAAGACAGAAAGCTGAATGCAGGATTTTAAGCATGAAGACACTAGAGAATAGTGGTGTGAATCATCATACAGGAGATGTAAACTCCAAGGAAAATGGTCTCCTATAAAATGTCCTAAGGACCTAATAATTTTGACACATACAAATGAAAGAATTATGAATTAAAAAAAAAATCTAAAAATTTTGCTATTTCCTTCCTCAGTGTTTCACAGTTCTCCCTGTAGAGGTCTTTCACTTCCTTAAATATATTCCTAGGTATTTTATTTTCTTTGTTGCTATTGTGAAAGGTATTGAGTCTTTGATTTGGTCCTAAGTTTGACAGTTGTTGGTGTATATGAATACTCCTGATTTGTGTACGCTGATTTTGTAACCTGAGACTTTGCTAAATTTATTTGTCAATTCCAATAGTCTCTTGGTAGAATCTTTGGGGTTTTCTAAACACTGAGGAAGGAAATAGCAGAGTATGTAAACAGAGAGAAAACATACCACACTTATGGATTGGCAGAATCAACATTGTTAAAATGTCTGTACTACCAAAAATGATCTACAGATTCAATGCAATCCCTATTAAAATACCAACATTATTTTTCTCAGATCTAGAAAAAATAATTCTACGCTTCCTGTGGAACTAGACAAGACCTTGTACAGCCAAAGCAACCTGCAGCAAAAAGAACGAATTGGGAGGCATCAACTTACCAGACTACAAGCTATACTACAAGGCTATATAACCAAAATAGCAGGGTACTGGCACAAAAACAGAGACACAGACCAATGGATTAGAACAGAAAACCAAGATATAAAACCATACTCACATTGCCATCTGATCTTTGACAAAGCAGACAAAACATACACTAGGGAAAAGAAGCTTTATTCAATAAATGGTGCTGAGAAAACTGGATAGCCACATGCAGAAGACTGAAACACAATCCACACCTCTGATCATTTACAAAAATGAACTCACAAATGGATAACAGTCTTAAACCTAAGGCATAAAACTATAAGAATTCTAGAAGAAAATGTTGGAAAAACTCTAATAGACATTGGCCTATGCAACGAATTTATGAAGAAGACTCCAAAAGCAATCACGGCAACAGCAAAAATAAACAAATGGTAACTGATCAAATTAAAAAGCTTCCGAACAGCCAAGGAAACAAACATGAGAGTGAAAAGACAACCTGCAGAATGGAGAAAATATTTGCATGCTATACAACCGATAAAGGGCTGATAACTAGAATCTATAAGAACTCGAGCAAATCAGCAAGAAAAAAAAATCAAACAACCCCATTAAAAAGTGGGCAAAGGACATGAACAGAAACCTTTCAAAAGAAGATAGACTAATGGGCAACAAACATATGAAAAAATGCTCAACATTTTTAATCACTAAGGAAATGCAAATCAAAACCACAATGAGGGCCCGCTGGTGGCCCATGCCTGTAATCCTAGCACTCTGGGAGGCCAAGGCCAGCGGATTGCTCGAGGTCAGGAGTTTGAAACCAGCCTGAGCAAGAGCGAGACCTGTCTCTACTATAAATAGAAAGAAATTAATTGGCCAACTAATATATATAGAAAAAATTAGCCGGGCATGGTGGCGCATGCCTGTAGTCCCAGCTACTCAAGAGGCTGAGGCAGGAGGATTGCCTGAGCCCAGGAGTTTGAGGTTGCTGTGAGCTAGACTAATGCCACGGCACTCACTCTAGCCTGGGCAACAAAGTGAGACTCTGTCTCAAAAAAAAAAAAAAAAAACCAAAACAACCACAATGAGATATCACTTAACTCCAGTGAGAATGGCTTTTATCAAAAAATCCCAAAACAAATGCTGGCATAGATGCAGAGAGATAAGAATACTCATGCACTGTTGGTGGGACTGCAAACTAGTATAACCTCTGTGGAAAGAAGTATGGATATAATTCAAAGAACTAAAAGTAGAACTACCATTTGATCCAGCAATCCCATTACTGTATATTTACTCAAAGGAAAAAAAAAAGACATTCTATAAAAAAGACACCTACACTCAAATGTTTATAGCAGCACAATTCACAATAGCAAAGATGTAGAATCAACCCAAGCGCCCATCAATACATAATGGATTAATAAAATGAGGTATATGTATACCATGGAGTACTGCTCAGCAATAAAAAATAATGGTGAACTAATACTTCTTGTATTAACCTGGATGGAACTGGAGACCATTCTTCTAAGCAAAGTATCACAACAATGGAAAAACAAACACATTTACTCATCATTAAATTGGAACTAATCAATCAACACTTATGTGCACACATGGAAATAAATAACATTCACTGGCAATCAAGCAGGAGGGACGGGGATGAGGGGATGGGTAAATTTACACTTAGCAGGTACAATTATCTGGGGGGTGGGCACACTTATAACTTTGCCTCGAAAGGCACAAAAGCAATTTGTATAACCAAAATGTTTATACCCCCGTAATATTCTGAAATAAATAAGTAAAAATAAAAATTCTGAAAGAAAAAACATCATTTTTAGCAACAGTATAGAATTCAAGAAGTGAAAACAGCTCAGGACTATGTCTTCACACCAATAGACCCAAAATATTTTTCTTGGAAAGTAAGCTATTTTCCATAGGTCAGGAGCAATCTCTGGCTTCTGGGGAGGCTATACTCTCCAATGTGGACCAGTCTTTGGAAGAAGTCTCACGGGCCAACCATGGCTTATTACTTCTGCCCCTCTTCTGCTACTACCAGGGGGAGAAGAAAGGCATATATTGACTGAAGGACAGAGAAGCTATAGTAGCAAATTATGACAGTAACTCTCCTCTGGCCCCTAGTTTCTTTGAAGAGCTTTGTCTTTCTCCCTATCAATAGAACAGGCTCCCTGTAGTACTGAAGGCACTCCTCCTGGCCAACAATGATCCCTCTGCCTTCCTGCCCTGATCTCTGGCCTTAAACATCAGGCCTTTTAAATTAGACATGCTCTTGCAGCTTGCAGAAAAACTACAAAGTGAGAAAAGTCTGTATGACAACTAACAGCTTCTCCAATTACTGCCTTAGTCTGCTGTGCCAAAAACTTAATAAAGGAGGCTGGCTTAATAATAATTTTTAATGGAATAGCAATAAAATAAACAAAATGTGCATACCTTACTAAGTTTCGTATAAATGGTATAGTTTGGAGATGAGTGAATGGAAAGGAGAGGAGATAACAGATATGGTAAATTTTCTATCTTTTGGCAAGGCTGCTCCTAATTTAAACATCATCATTCATATCATAACAGTTAACATTTATCGAACACTCAACTATGTGCAATGCACTAGATGCCCTTGCATTATCTCAATGTGCATTATCTCATTTAACCCTAAGCAATCCCTTTTAA